GTATTTTCAATTGACCTCCATGCACATGCACACGAAGACACATGTCAGTGGGTCTACTCCATCTTGGACTATAATCTACAAAAATTGTAACACGAGTTAAACCTTTCTCTTTATAAGTTAATTATCTCAGGTAGTAAATTATAACAAAGTGAAGGTGAGTAACATATGGGTCCATGCATCAATACGCTTATTTCATGACAAAAGAGTTCTTCATTTACCACTTACATTAAATTAGTCAGTAGATATTTAATTTAATTGCAAAATCACAGTATCAAATACAGTTAGCATACACAGGACTAAGACTAAAGAGCACTGTTATCATGTATATAAACTATAAAAAGCATAGCATGCCGGTTTACAACAGTGATAATCTGGAGTAATCTCAATGCTTCAAGCAAGAACAAGTTTGTATTTCCAATGGAAACGAGAACACTGTTAGCCCAATGAGTTGATTTAGTGTTGGTCAACACTCCATTACCCAAGACAGAGATAAAGTACACAGCAGGGTACAGAAGTGATGTGTTTGTCTGTCTTAAAAATGAAGCAAGTGGGCCAGGTCTGGTGACAAACACCCTTAATTCTAGCATTTCAGGTGGATTTCTGTGAGTCCAAGGTCATCCTTGTCTACACAGCAAATTCCAGGCCAATCCAGGCTATACAGTAAAACCTTGTCGCAAAAAAGCAAAAACAAAACGAGTGGTCTTATGCATGTTGTTACAACACCATGTATGCAACTCCCTGCTGTATCTGGAAAACACCGATTCATTGTGGTTATTCACCACCTTTGGCTCTTACATTCTTTCTGCTCTCTCTCTTCTGCCTCTGCTGTGATGTTCCCTGAGCCTTTGGATAAGGTTGGATAAGGGCTATAGTAGGGATAGATATCCCATTTGGGGCTGAGTACTGCCTAAGATCAAACTAACAAAATAACAACTTGAAGGGAATGTGTGGACATGAAGTACCACCCCTCCTTGGGGATCTGTTGGAAACTGATAACTGACAAGAGAAGAGAGAGAGTTGGTTTTCTTTAACAGTATGACCCCAGGTGGTGGGTTGACAACCTACCACTCCAGTGAGTGGTTGCATACTCAAGACTATATAAACAACACAAATTGGACTCCCTCTCCTCTCTCTCTCTCTCTCTCTCTCTCTCTCTCTCTCTCTCTCTCTCTCTCAAAATTTGGGTGGTTATGGAATGGGGTAGATCTGGGAGAAGTTGGGAAAGAGGTGAATATAATCAAATTTTAATGTACAAAATTCTCAAATTATTTCTTTAAGTAGAAGAAACAAATAGGACTACAGGTAGTTGAGTCTTAGAGTGCTGCATAGCACACAGGGCTTGGGGTTCAATTCCCAGCACTACAGAAGAAAAAGGAAACAAAGCTTTACCATGCTATTCATCTTTCACTATATGTCCACTATAAAATCTTCCCCCAGTCTTTAATTCTTCAAAACTCATATACTCTCTCCTCCACTTACATTCCCAAGTACAGGGAGTAAGCCATTTCAGCCTACAGCAGTATAATCTGTCATTACAGCCCAGTTTTTCACACAAATTATCACTGAACAGTTCAATAAATATCTATTAAACCAACAAATAAGTGTGTTCATAGAATAACTAGTGACAGCAACATTCTATCTGACTATAACAACTCAACTCCCCTGGACCATCTTTGATGGAGAAAAATATAAGTAAATAAAGAAAACAGCCAGGCTTGGTGGCACAAACCTTTAATCCCTACACTTAAAAGCTGGGGGAAGGCAGAGCTCTGTGAGTTTGAGGCCAGCCTGGTCTACATAGTAAGCTCCAGGATAGCCAGGGCTACATAGTAAGACCCTGGAAAGAAAGAAAGAAAGAAAGAAAGAAAGAAAGAAAGAAAGAAAGAAAGAAAGAAAGAAAGAAAGAAAGAAAGAAAGAGGGGGACAGGGAGAGAGGGAGAGAAGGAGAGAGGGAGGGAGGGAGAGAAGGAGAGAGGGAGGGAGGGAAGGAGAGAGGGAGGGAGGGAGGGAAGGAGAGAGGGAGGGAAGGAGGGAGGGAGAGAAGGAGGGTGGGAGAGAAGGAGGGAGGGAGAGAAGATCTAATAATCATCAAAACATCAGATATTGTGACCTTACCTAAGTATTTCATAAAAACCACTTTTAAATGTGCAAACATATACCCAACCCCTACAAACACACAAACACACACACACACACACATACACACCAACAAAGAATCTTTTTTCTGCTCACATCTTCCAACATTTTCAACTGTGATTTGGTTTTTCTCAATTAACTCTGGGAGCCCATTCTACATGGAGGGATGCTCTCTCAGCCTGGAAAAATGGGGGAGGACCTAGGCCCTGCCCAGGATGAAATTACAGACTCTTAAGATCCCTCATGGAAGGCCTTACCCTCCCTGGGGAGTGGAGGGGGAATGGAGTGGGGTGACGGGTTGGGGGGATTAGTGGGCCAGGGAGGGAGAGGGAACTGGGAGAAATGTGTAAAAAGTTAAATAAAAAATTACTATTAAAAATTTATCACAGCAATGGGTGAATATTTAGATAGGCATGAAATAACTTTTAGTTTGACAATTTTTAAAAGAAAATCAAATGATTAAGTGAAGAACTAAAAAAAAAAACCCTCAAACACTGCAATGAACACTTTTGGGGGGGGGAGTTATATGACCAAAGACCTGACAAGTTCATTTAGATAAGTCATTATTAAAAACAACAAACATGCCTGAGCTTGCAAACTGCTGCTTGAAGAAAATGCAACTGAGAGACTTAGAGAATGCCTTAAGCAGGAATGTGTGTAATTCAAAAAGAAAAACTACCATGGTAACAAGTTTACCAATAAATCATGTGACTGTGTAGCCAAAGTCAGTTCATAAACATCAAAGCCACTTGAAGAATTCTTTGGTTCCCGTGATTATAAGATCAACAAGATGATTGGATAAGAAGACAGACAGAACATTTGTATTTGTTTCCCTTCTGAACATAAAACTGAAATTCTCTTCTACCTGGCTAACAAAAATCCCAGAGAAATTTTTGATAAATGAATTTCAAGTTGATTTCTTCAGAGCCAAAGTCCTTTGGTTTGGTCACTGACACCCACCAAATGCCCAGAACAGCACTGAGCGCACAGTTGGCACTCAATAAATACCTTTTACATTGAACTAAATTGAAAAATATGCACTATGCTGCAATGGTATTAGCTAATTCAGTCCACAATTTTAAAATTAAGCCATAACTTCTGCTCCAGATCATTGGGTTGCTCATGACAAACCTCCGGGCCACATTTCTAGAAACATCTCAGCATTGCAAACCACTCACATCATGTCCTCATCACTAGCCACTTATCACCAGGGGGAGCACAGAATCAAGACTCCAAGAAGCAGTATTGGAAGCTTACTCTTACTTATCTTGATTACTCCTGGGAATGCATCTGACAAGTATCAATATATTCATCTTGATATGGGAAGAATTTGAATATTACTTAAAATTAAGGATACTTCTTGCTTCCTGTTTTCCATCCATTTGTTTCTCCCTGCACATCATCTTTCATTTTCATTGTTTTTTAAAACAGGTTCTTCCTAAGTAGCTTTTTCAGCCTACTAGTCACTATGTAGTTCAGGCTGACTTTGAACTCCCAACAATCCTCTGCTGTATCTCTGGTGTGCTGGAATTACAGCATGTACCATCACAGCAGGCTTAAGGATTCCTACTGCTAACAATTACACAACAAAGGCAGTTTGACTAAATCAACCCCTCATCTATTTCAGAACCCTCCCAGTTTAAAAACAGATGAGTAAAAAGCAAGGATAGGAAAATTATATGCTTGGGCCATTCTAGTCATGGGGGGAGGGGTTGTTGTTAAAATACCTGGAGGCAAAGTACCCTGAAAATTGACCTGGGGAAGAGTGAGAAAGCCTGAATGTCTACGTTGGTCCCATCTACACACTTGAGGGTATGTATTTTGCCAATCAGCGCCAGACATGGATCTGAGCTTCCCAAACTGTTTAACAATTAGAATCTAGTAGATTCTCTAAAACCCCTTTCCACTTCTATGATCATTTAAGTAATAAGTGATCCAGCGTCCATACTTTTCAGTCAGGCTGGGCATCATGAGTGGCTAGAACATCAGAAGCCCTAGAGTAGTGTAACTTTGGAGAAAGGAGAATTACACAGCCAGCAGCTGCTGATTTCAAAAGCGAGCAAGCCCAGATACCTGTAGCCTCAGGTTCTTCCTGCACTTGGCAAGCCTGAAGTTTTTGTTGTTGTTGTTTTGTTTTGTTTTTTCTTTCTTTCTGGACTAGGTCAGCAGGGCCGCTGGAATGCCCGCACAGCTCTCAACAAAGCTGCGAAGAACTAACAAGAGGCCCGACAAAATGCAAGCGGAATGGTTCAGAATGCTGAATCACCAATTTGCACTACATCAGTGATTCTGAGATCCACAGGTTGAGAACCGCTGTTTTGGGGGCAAGGAACGACTGTAGAAATTAAGTTTAATTCATTTCAAACACAGAAGGCTGGTGAGTAGACTACTCACGAGAGCAACAAACAATTGGGAAGCAGAGTAGGGTTAAAAAGTAAGAAACTGACAATCAAGGTGGAAAGGCGGTCTGTCCTGCATGGGAAATGTGCATCTGGAAACCTCAGAACACAGATCAAAGCCGCTCTCTCCAGCCACCTGCCCAGAAACTCTGCGGGACACCTCAGGACACCGGACAAGAGGGCACGTGCTTCCTTTCTAAACCCAACAGGTGGCCAGACTTAGGGTCTAGACATAGCGCGCAGCTGGGGCAGACGCAGAACAGAGCGCCCGCGGTCCTTCCAGAGGTCTAGGTCCAACCCTCCCGCCCTACCTGGACGCCGGTGCTACCTGTGCAACGGAATCAGAAAGCGGGAAGAGCAGCAGCAAAGCTTTCGGCACCGGGACAGCATCGGGACTAGGCGCGCGCTCCGCAGCCCTCTACAGAGTCCCTGCCCGCCCGCATCCCGGGGCCCGCGGGTCCTCACCTCGTGGGGACAGCTGCAGCGCTGGCGGTGGCTCGCCCACATACTCCCTTGCGCGGCGGCCCTTTCCCCGGCCCCAGGCGTCTGGTGGCGGCCGAGGGGCGGGGAGCGCGTTGGGCGGAGGCGCCGCAGGGCCCGGAGCCGCGGGCAGCGGGCAGCGCCTGCCGGACAATGTCGCTGGAGTGATCCCACTGCCCCGCCCCCGAGAAGCAAGGCTTTCAGCCACGCCGGCCCCGAGAGTGACTCTGCCCAGTCGGGGAAGAAGCATTGTCCCGGGATTTGCTCTGCTTTGGGGGCTCGGCCACGCGTGAGGGGCGCGGGGAGGAGGGGCACCTCCAGGTTATGTAATGCTCTGCTGAGAAGGGAGCCAGCTTGCCTTAGTCTACAGGGTTCTCTCCCAGATGGCCTGAGGTGCCTCGAACCTACAGTAAAGGAGGAGACTGGGTGTTCTCAAAAAGATCGTTTCCATGCAGGGTCAAAGGGCACTAAACCTGCATCTGCATCTGACATGGAAGGGGACCCTGCCAGCGAGCGGGTCAGACCTTTTTTCAGTAATCAGTTAATTAATTACAAGGGTTCTAAAGACCTGAGTTCAACTCGCTGGCAAAGCCCATGACTTTGGGTGATCAACTTAACTCTGAGTTGCAGTTTCATCTGTAAAATTAAATAAATAAATAAACACATTTGCTTCACTTTGTTGCTGAGAGGAAGAATGAGGTTTAGGGGTCAGGTACAATAACAGTCCAGGATAAAACCTGAAGAGGGACCTCCCATGCCCACCAGGAGATGAGTGTGTGTGGCAGGTTCCTGGCTAGCCATCCCTTTAGTGTTGCACAAAGCCCAGCAGATTAAAGACCCTTCTCACCTTGCCCTTTGGGTTGTATGTTTGTTTCCCTTTCTGTCGACCTTCCTACACTGTAACTATTAATCGGAATTTAAGGACTATTTTCACTTGCATGAAACTAGTTTAGATCTGAGGAATTAGTAAATGTGTGTTTAAAACACACACAAGGAGATTTCATTAGCATTGAAAATGAGCTTGTAAATGCAGGGGCAGCAATGAGCCTGAACCCTCAGCTATGAAAGTCCTTAGGTCAAAGGCTTGGAAACCCTGTCTTTGAGAAAAATACTTCTTCCAGTTAAACACTGTTTCCAGTGGCAAATAAGTCTTATCTTCCACGTAATAACATAGGACAACCAGTTCTTTTGAAAACCTTTGGAGAATAGAACAAATCTTCAGATGTCTTTCTAAGTCACAGCTCACAGAGCCTCTAGCAAAGCCCAGAGCTATTTTATTTATTGGTTTAAGAGCTATGTCTTTGTTGTTTTATCCTTGATGGTATTCCGATTTTGTTTGCCTGACTGCTCTCTGGCAGAGGGAGTTTTAACCTTTGAGAGTTTAGTAATTGGGGGTGTAATGGTACATGCCAACAATTCCAGCAATCTGGAGGCTAAGGTATGTTGTGGATGGTGAGTTTGAGTACAGCCTGGGCTCCATAACAAGACCGCTGTGCTTGAAACAACAAAACAAGAGCCATAGAGACAGCAGATGAAGCTGAGTTAATTCCTGGGACACACGTGATTAAAGGAGAGAATTACTGACTGTCCCAAGTTGTTTTCCGACCTCCACAAAATACACACAAAATAAATACAGGAAAATAATAATTTTCCGGAAGCAGGATTGTGATGTAGCTCACTTGATGAGTGCTGCCTGGCAGATACAAAGCCTTGGGCTCACCAAGCTGTACTGGACACTGAGAATAAAGCATGGGCCAAAGGACAGCACCATTGCTCTCATTAAGTTCTTTCTAGAGGGCAAGGACCATTGAAGAAATACATAACATTATATAGAGAGTGATGTCTTCTAGAACAAATGAAGTAGGATGGGAGGATGGAAGACTTACAGGGTGATGAGCACAAGGGAGGTCTCTCAGAAGAGGTAGCATTTGACCCTAAACTTGAATAACACAGCCAGTGAATCATGGATGGATATCTAGAGTGAAAATGTTGGCAGAAACAGGTAGTACAATCATCATAATGCTGCCTGTGACATCATAGCGCTGTATCGCAACATCATAATGTTCCATTTTACGTAAAAATGCTGCATTGTGATATCACTATGCAGTTCTTTGCTATCACTATGTTCCTTTATGTCATTTCAGGGCTCCACTGTGACTCACAGTGCTTCTTCATGAGGTAGCAATGCTCAGCTGTAACATGACAATGCTTCGTTATGCTAACACAATGCTGTGTGTGCTATCACAACACATGATTGTGACATCATAGCACTCCATTATGAAATCACAGGGTTCCACTGTCACATTGTGCTAACACAATGCTACCTTGTAGCATCACAGCTCAATTATGGCATTAGAATGTTCCACTACAACATCACAGCACTTCTCAATGGCATCATGATGCTCTATTGTGCTAGCACAGTACTGTCTTGTACCATCACAATGCTGCATGTGGTATCATGGTGTTCCACTGTGACATCTCAATGCTCCTTGACAATAAAATAAAGTAAAAAGTGTTCAGTAACTGTGAGTTGCTGATAAGTGGAACAGGAAAAGGCAGAGCCTCATATGGGACGTCACTTCCTAGGGGTCTCCCCTTTCAGGCTGGTGAAGCTGCTGCTGATACAGGTGTGGGCCACATGAAAGGGAAGGTGGACAGAGGAAAGGAAGCTCCTTTCTCTTAAGTTTAGGAGTTGGAGTTGCTGGAAGTGGAGAGGAAAGCCCATCTGCTTGGAAGAAAACCAAGAGGGGAACCCTAGACTCCAAGCAGGGAAGATAAGTTACCGACTCTCTTCTAGGCAGCACTGTAAGGTAGAACTTCCTGCAATGGTTGAAATGTCCCACACTGGCACCATTCAAAAGCACTCCACACTGTGGGCTGTTCACACTTACCCTTTAAACAAGGAACTAATTAAATTTGGTTTTGTGTGCTATTTGTTTTCAGTGCTCATCTGTTTTGTGACTCATGTTTCAAGGGCTCCATACCAACATGTAGTTAGTGTTTCTCAGGATGTGCAGCGACAAAACACACCCCTCACCTCAGGAGGCCCTTATTCAGTGATGCTTACAAGCTAGGGTTTGGTTAGACCAGATATGGTGCTTTTCTGAAAACTGTCGCCTGTCCAAAGGCAGCGTGGAATGTCAAAGGTCCTTTGAGAATTTAAATGTGGTGATGCATAGAAGGCATTTAATGCAATGTTTTGGCTGCAGTAAGCATGCAAAAAATTTACCCATATTGCATTGTGATTGATGAAGATTCTCTTCTGAGCCAATTCTGAACCTCCACATCAGCACAGCAGGAACCTCTCTTCCCTCACATGTGACCACCCTCCAAATCTGACCAGGTCTTCATCCTTCACACCACAGGGATGTCTGGTGGCTCTGACTAACGTTTAGCAGGAATCCAATAGGTTGATTTGGCTATAATCTCCTTTATCCTTGATGTTTCCTCTTGGTAGTTTACAATTCTCTAACCTCCGCTCTATGCCCTTGCCTATAAAATCTGACTCGCCCATAATATGTGGAGCTATATACTGTATCTCTTCTCACCTTACTATAATACCCTATTATAGTGGTCCCTCAACCTGTCAGTGTTCCAGAAAAAAAAACACAACTTCCTCACAATGGTTTAACAAGAGTGTCACTGAACAAATTTTCCCATTAACAGGAGACATGGTGCTGTAGTTACGTCAGTACTAATGAAGCAATCTTCCGCTGACGTGACCAGCAGATGACCTGAATACTCAGCCACCCTGGTTTTCCCCTCCAGAAACTAAGCACTACCTGTGCTACTCCAGCCTGGAGACACGGCATATTTGATAAAAGTTCTACCATTTATAGCCAATAATTAACAAGTGTGTGTGTGTGTCTGTGTGTGTGTGTTAACTAAGATCAAACCACACATGGCTTAGTGCAGTGGTTCTCAGCCTTTGGGTCGTGACCCCACCTGGGGTCAAGCAACTTTTTCACAGGGATTGCTTAAGACTATTGGAAACACAACATTGTTTTTATTTGCTACTTCATAACTGTAGTTTTGCTAATGCTATGAATCATGACGAAAATATCTGTGTCACCGTTACATGAGGCATTGTCCTAAAGGGCCATAGCGTCGGGAAGGCTGAGAACCGCTTGCTTAGTGGAATTAATCTCCAGAGAGATTCTGGGAAGCACGACACCTAGAGTGCAGCCATTACTGAAAGAGTGTTTGTTTGTTCCCGTTGCTTGGTCAAACAAGACGTGTGGATTCAGCGGAGGCCAGTGAGAACACGGGCCCAGACGGGGATGCACAGCAGCCACAGCAGAGTGAAAGCTATCAGACAGCTGGGTGTGGGCATAAAACCGGGAAGCTTTTGCCTAACTAGAACTGAAATGCGACTTTCAAGGCCGATAGAGATGTTGAGGATAACTATAAATAGCATACACACATTCAATGAAAGAATATGTCATCAATTACATGGAATTGTAATTGGTGAGAGAATATACTGAAATTCTTCTCTGGACTCTAAGAAACATATCTGAATATCGTCTTCTGAAACTCCTATTCACCTGGCTTGTAAAAATAATACCATGATGGCTTGGAGAGATGGCTCAGTGATTAAGAGCACTGACTGCCCTTCCAGAGGACCCGGATTCAATTTCCAGCAACTACATGACAGCTCACAGCTGTCTATCTCCAGTTCCAGGGGACCTGACACCCTCACACAGACATATATGCAGGCAAACACCAATGGGTGTAAAATTAAAATAAACAACTCATTTTCAAAATACAAAAAAAGAACTAATTTTAAAAAATAAAATAATATCATGACCCTTGAACATTTTCCAGATCTCATTTTCTTTATTGTATTCGTTAATTCATTTTTTATTCTTCACTTCTATTCTTGTGAGCATTTTCCTAGAATTCAGGGTCTACTTCCCTGCACTCCTTTCTTAGTACATCCCAGGCCCTTCTTGTTGCTGTGGCTAACACCTGCTGTCAGCAGCATGGCATTCCCAGTCCTGACCTCCAGCTGAACTCCAGTTCTTGTCACCTGACACCCACTAGATAGTTCCACTTGCAGTCTCCCCACTCCATCACTTCAGATTTTAAAATCCTTATCACTGCGATTTCTTTCTTAGCTTCCACACAGCTCTCAGGTCGGTTGCCCTGTGCATTGCAGAGTGTTCAGCAGCATCCCTAATCTTTGGCCACTGGGTACCAATAGGAATCCTCCTATT